ACCACAAAAAAAAAAAAAAAAAAAAAAAAAAAAATGGGCGTGGTGGTGGGCGCCTGTAATCCCAGCTACTCGGGAGGCTGAGGCAGGAGAATCGCTTGAACCTGGGAGGTGGAGGTTGTGGTGAGCCAAGATTGCACCACTGCACTCGAATCTGAGCAACAGAGCGAGACTCTAAGTCAAAAAATAAATAAATACATAAAATAAATCGCATGGGATGAAAGGCTTTGCGGGTAGAAGAGCATATAACAGGGAAATCTGTTATTATTTATATATTATAATCGTCAACAGAAACGCGTCTTCTAACAGCATATTGCCTCGCATTTTTGTTCTCATATTTTTGCAAAAACCCAAGAAATGAAACAAAGTGCCCTTATGGTGCTGTTCTGAACTAGAAGATTTGAATTTCAGGGCCGCTAGGAGAGTTTCCTCTGCCCCCATTTTAAAAAGTGTCTTCAGGCCTAACAAATGATAACATCTATTGTTATGAATTGTTTTTCCTTCCACAGAGTGACTTTGGAGATACATCATGATATCACGCAAAGGTGAGCTTTTTAGAAACCTGTCTTGTTATTCTAGCTAATTACTTTGCAAGATACCAAGCTCAGTGTTAGGTCACAGCTCTAGACATCATAAGCTGTATTGTGCCTGCTAAAATATCAAAGCAAATTATTTGTGTTTTCTTTGTTCCTTAAGACTCTCTTAATTTTTAAATGATTGAGAATCTCAAAGAGTATGTGTTTATATTGATTATATTGATATTTACTGTGGTAGAAATATAACATTGAGGTTTTTTTCAAAATCTATTTTTAGTTTAGATTTCACAGCCTTACCACTGTTGATATTATGAGCTAGATAACGCTTTGTTGTGAGGACTGTCCTGTGTATTGGAGAGAGTTTAGCAGCTTTCATGGCCGCTACCAACTAGATGTCAGTAGTAACCCATGGCCCAGGTTGTGACAACAGAAAATATTCCTAGAGAACAATATTGTTAACAGAAATTTTTCATCGAAAAAGTAACTTTTCTACAACAAAAAGTGGAGTAAAAAGTGTGTCATGTATTTATATTATTTAAAGTCTCATGTTGACCTTCATAGGAGACAACTGGATTCTCTAGATCTTTCTTTGCAATTTGTTCTAAAGAAGCAATAAGAGACCGGGCGGGGTGGCTCAGGCCTGTAATCCCAGCACTTTGGGAGGCCAATGCGGGTGGATCGCAAGGTCAGGAAATCGAGACCATCCCGGCTAACACTGTGAAACCTGTCTCTACTAAAAATACAAAAACTTAGCTGGGCATGGTGGCACGTGCCTGTAGTCCCAGCTACTCTGGAGGCTGAGGCAGGAGAACCGCTTGAATCAGGGAGACGGAGGGTGCAGTGAGCCGAGATCACGCCACTGCATTCCAGCTTGGGTGACAGAGCAAGACTACATCTCCAAAAAAAATAAAAATAAAAATAAATAAATAAATAAAAAGTAATAAGACTGCTGGGTGCGGTGGTTCACACCTGTGATCCCAGCACTTTGGGAGGCTGAGGTGGGCAGATCACTTGAGGTCAGGAGTTTGAGACCAGTCCGATCAACATGGTGAAACCCGCCTCCACTCAAAGTACAAAAAATAGCTGGGCGTGGTGGTGCATCCTGTAGTCCCAGCTATTTGGGTGGCTGAAGTAGGAGAATCGCATGAATCCAGGAGGCGGAGTTTGCGATGAGC